CTCTGAGATTCTCTCTTTTTTTAATTGAATTATATTTGTTTGCAGAGCTTCAGAGATGTTCAGTGTGCCTTTTGCACCCAATGACCTGAATGTTCATCTTTAAAATCTTTTCTGCTGACTTGGTCTCTCGTCGTCGTTTCTCGGAGAAGGATTTATCCCATTTCTAGGGAAGTTTTTTTGTTTTTAAATGACTGTGAAAACTCGCCCATTATTTCCAGGTGTGCTGAAGCACACTCAGAAGCACCCTCTCCTGTGAGTACAGGTTTCCTCCACTACCTGAAGATACAGAAGTCCTACGAATCCTTTCTAAGCTGAAATGGTGTAATTCAAAGAAGCAATTACCATTAATTCCTATGGAAAAAGTTTTGAGCATTCCCAGACCCAAACAATAACCTCTCTCAGGCTTTTCTGATACCACAGGACACATCTTGCTAACAGAGTCACAAAATAAATGGAGATAAAGCACAGACGTTCACAGACAGTTCAGAGCTCTGACGGCTGGACACTCGGAAGTTGATGGCTCCTGGGGAAGAAGCCTGGCGGGGACCCTCTTGCTGTCTTGGGGACGTGCTCCCTCTGTAACAGTTCACTGAAAAACAAATGCTCATGGCTATTTTCACTTTTCACGTCATTTTGTGAAATTGAAAATCCTCTTCGGACTTCTCTCAGTAAGCAAAACTGGTACTAATGCAGGTCTTCCGTAAAAGCGAAGTGGCCTAACACACACTTAACAAAACAAAGAGTGGGGGATACTTGTAATCAGAAAAGCTGGACAAGATACAAACGAGCAAGCAAACACCAGCTACTTGAAGACCCTGCTGAGCTGAAAACAGGGAATTATGGAAAGAAGGAAAATCCTCAGAGGTGAGCCAGCCTCTGCCCGTTTCCCCTGGGGAGAGCTGGCCTCCTAGAGTTAAAGCCCACTTCAAGTCATCTCAATTCCCAGTTGGAGGTTAAATACAAAATTACCAGGTATATCAGAGGAACATATGACTGAAAACTGAAGAAACAACAGATAATGAAGACAGAAACTAAGGGAAGATAGAAAATGGAGTTAGTAGGTATAGACTTCAAAAAAATTGGTTATCATGCTCAGAGAAATAGAGAAAAGATTAACAATTTTGACAGCAAACTGGAAATGATTAAAAAGAAAACCCAAATAGATTTATGAGAACTGAAAAATACAATAAATGAAATTTAAAAACTTAATCAGAACAAACATATAAAGAGGGAAAGGTGAAGTGGAAAAGAAGTAGAAAATATATTCATGATGAAATAAGGAGATACAAAAGGACAGAACCACAGCGAAGTCGTGAGGCAAGGTCTACAGAAGGCAAAGAACACACATGCAGTGAATTCCCAGAAGTGGAGGAAAGAGAAACAAGAACTCTCCAAAGCAGATCAAAACACGAAGCCCCGAGACTCTGTGGTAGGTCATCAATAAAAACACCACGCAGGTGCAACCATCACAGAAAAACTACAGAAAACCAAATAAGAGAAAAATCCACTGACAATCTGCCTGGGCCGATTTCAGAACCTCTTTCTGGATGTGCCAGGATCCATTCCCAGGCCACACCTACCAAGAATGATTCCTGCCCACAGGCTCCGCCTGCACCGTTACATCACACGGAATTCAGGATTTAACAGCTCTCGTGAGGCCTGCTCCGCAGGGCTTCCCAGGTAGGCCATGACCTACGGGTACTACTCCAAGTTTAGGATAAAAAAAAAATCAGGGTCGTGAGACACATCTGTTTCAAGCCATTTTTGTAACTACAGGAAACCATGGAAGCTGGCTCTCATGTGAAACATAAAAACGCCAATCCTGTGCTCTAGACACCGGCACTCTCCATTTCAGCAGGGGCCTGGGCTTTCATAATGAGCTGATGAGGTTTCCTGTAAACTTGCTTTTTTTCAACATTAAAATTCAATTACAAGATACTTTTTAGGAAGCAGCAACAATGTTTGTGCCTGATGGAATCTAATCCCTATATATATTTATACATTAAAAACACAACTACGTTAAAAAATGTCAAATTTCAGTTTAACACGGGTTGTCTTGATACCTTATAAGGAACAAAAACAAGCAGGTAAGACCTCAGTTTCAGTGGGGAAAAAAAGGAATGATGGAGATCTTACCATGCCCTCAAGACCAGTATTATATTTGTCAGTGGCAGATCAGAAACTTCTATTTAGTTTGTCAACTGAATCCTTCCACAACCTCACAGGACACGTTGAACACCAGGCAGCTACATTTAGTGCTCTTGTTGACTCAACACAACATAGGATTTCAAAATAAACCGCTCTCCTCACACTCACATTCAAAGTATCTTTAAAATCTAAAGTTGCATTTTAAGAAACCCCGATCATTCTTTGTTTGAACCTGCATGATGATAAACCAGGACCATTCCTCTCTACATACTGCCATCTAAATCTGAACTTCTAAAACACTTAACTCATAAGCAAACACATCAGGATTTTAAGCTTTTGTCTTTGGTTTAAGAATCTAAACAATGACATTACTTTATATGAGGAGTGTTCAGCATCAAACAAAACTTATCCCAGGGCAAATGATTTGTTTAAATGACATTAGACAAAACCCCTAAGGTACCAAAGGTGGTTTCCAGACCTTGCCTCACGTTAGGGCTTCTCGGCGTTTGTGAAAGCCCTCAAGCCCAGGGGCACCCCCAGGGATGACCATCAGACTGCGAGGGCGCGCCAGGCAGGCGCCTCTGGAAGGCAGGTCCCCAGTGGGAGCCGCGGACCCTTGATCCGTCAGAGAAAAGGCTGTGTGGCAGCTGGGCTAAGAAACGGAGCAGGAAGACTGTCCTGCCAAAGGCTCTTGCCCCTCCTGCTGTTAGGACAGGACACCCAAGGCCAATGGCTTCCCCTCCCTGAGTGTCGGTGTCCTGCCTATAGAGAAGGGGACTGCACTGAACAGGTGGCTTTCAGGAGCTGGTAGGTGAGCAGGACGAGAGGATGGGCGTCTTCGCAGAGCTCTCCGGATGGTTCTTCCACAGAGAGCCAGCAGCCCCGTGAGCACCAGCCTGCTACCGCTCCACTTCACCAGGGCAGAAAGTTTATCAGTGCATCTAAAGGCTTCCAGAGCGACAGCTAAACTTGAGCAAGTTACCTAATTAAATTTAGTAAACCAATTTTGTCCGTAAGCATGTCAGCTAAAGGCACATACGTGTATGTATGTGTGTGTGTTATTTCGTATTTTGTTTTCCTTTTCAACCACTTGATTTTAATTGACATTCCTGACACCTGTACCACCTTTGACCACACACCTGTGCAGCACACCACAGGACAGCGCAGGGAGGTGAAGTCAGACACACGCTCTTCCCACGTCATGCGTCCCTTAAGGGGAGGTGCTTCCTAAGAAGGGACAGCATCCCCGCCCAGGACACAGGACTCCAGCCCAGCGTTCTCCTACAGACCAGTTCGTCAGGCAAGGGTTATCATCAGGTGGAAGCCAGGCAAGAGCAACTGTTGGAAATATTAACTTCCATGTGGGCAAAACAGAAAGGTGAAACCTCATGCTTTGTGATTAGACAGGGCAGAGCATCTTTATGGTAACAAGTAAAAACTCAACAATATTTCCTGCGCGCTTTTTTTCAAAACATGCTGGCCTAAGACCAAGGCGTGGAGCAGCAGAGCTGCGCAGGCCAGCGGCTGCCCTGAGAAGAGCTCTGTGGGAGGGCAGGAAGCAGGTCTACAGAGGCCTTGGTGCGCCGGCAAGGAGAGGCGTGCCCAGGCTGCCACGGGACGCCTAGGCAGGCACGGCACAAAGGTAGTGCCTGCTTAACAAATACCCCAGACGGACGCCAAGGTTTCTTCTTCATTTCTTCCAAGGGCAAAAGGTGAGGCAGCCACACAGCCGCTGAAAGAAGCCAGGACCCTGGGAAACAAAACTTGAATGCCGCCTCAGGGCCACCAGCGGTCCAGGGAGGCACGACCAGGGGAGAGCCGGGGGCCGCCATGGTTGTGGTGCGGGAAGCCAGGAGCAGTGCCATGTGCGCCGCACCAGAGGGGCCCTTGGCCAGTCCTCTGGGCACACCTGCTGCTCTACCTGAAAGGTGCTTCCTTTCCTTTGTTTTGCTCCCTTTTTTTTTTTTTTCCTGAGACAAACCAGAAAGCATAGGAGAGAAATCTAAGTTTCTAGAACTTAAAAGGAGAGAAATCTAAGTTTCTACAACTCACAAGGGACCTTCATGGACTCTAGGTCATTTCCAACTTCTTGTAGCCACTGCCGAGGTAAGGAAGGCATCGCCCCCCAGTGGCCTGGCCTGCACCCCGGGGCTGGGGTTCCCCAGGGCGGCCCCCGCCTGCCGTCCTGACTTTCCTTCCCATTGGCTACTTGTTTATCAGCAGTTTGGAATTCAGCCTTCACTACATTTCAATACACTGGAAAGTTTTTCCAATACTTTCTTGGCCTCACAGAAATGAGGCGCCAGATAATGAGCGGCCGATCTTCAATGTAATCCATGAGAGCAGATGTTGAAGAATCAAAGAAGCTCAGATGCTGACATTCCCCACGCGAGCCCACAGGTGGGGAGCCAGGAAGAGCGCCAGGTTCTGAGGCCGAAGCACAGGTAATGGGCACCCCCTTCACCCTATGGCTGTGGCCACGCCAGGATCCGCTCACACACGTGAGACCTTTGGGTTCCTCACCTCCCACCTAGTGAGCATTTATTCGGATCACACAACATCCACAGTGCCGGCACAACCACATTCTCCGCTGGAGAGAAGCTGTCGGCATTTTTACTAGCAGGCGAAGCACTGGTGAAGTGGTAAGAAAGCCTTTTCTATCAGTAATAACTCTGTCCTAAAGGAAACCAGCACTCTTGGTTTTACTGTCCGAGTTTTCCAACATCCACCCATAACTAATTTTTTAAATAAAATACAAGTTGGACAGGCTAGTTTATGTTTCATTAACCCAGGGTAGAACACTGTGATGTAGCAGCCCTGGAAAGTTTAAAATAATATTTTCACACACCAACCTTTTGGCCTTTCCCTCTTGTCTTTGATTCCTCATGAGGTCCGTTGAGATCCTTAAAATCTTCCCATGAGCCATCTAAAACATCTTGTCTTTTTGGTCCATTTTTAACACCTAAAACCCAAGTGGATTGAAGATTAGTTAGAACTTTATATGAACTGAATACTAATGCAACTGAAGCAAAATAAAAAGTAAAAAATTAATTTGTTTATGCATATTCACAACATTAAAGTATAGTTCTTTCAAATACACCCTGCCTACTTCTTGCTCTTTGAGATCTATTTAGAACTTTCAGTTTGTTCCAATACCCCAAGCAATTCACTTAACTCAAGGGTCAGAAACAATTGTGCCTCTGTCGGCACTAATTCTACAGGGTCCCACGTGTCCATTTGATAATGCAAGAAAATGCAGGCCTATATTATGCACTATTCAACCTCCAATTCTTAGATGTTTACATAATGATCCAAAAGCAGCTGCTCAGGGAAGGCAATTCTCTACTAGAGGAAATAAGCAGTCTTAGCGTTGGGGTTGGAGTTACTCCAGAGAACAGTCTTCAGTACTAAGCTGCCAATCTACAAATAACCGATGATTCTACTCCCCACATATTTCCATCGTAGACCAGCATCTTGCCTTGAAAAGACATAAACCAAGAAGACACTCATCACATGGAATGTGGTTTCATTAGAAGCTAAGTGACGTAAAATCCTAAGCAACTCACAAAAAGGCATGGGTTTGAATTGACTTGCCCACTACTGCAACTTTACACACTGCTGCTTGTGTTCACTCTTTCTGCCAAAATAGTTTGCCTATGACGTACTAGCTACCACTTTTGTAGTCTCAATGGGAGAACGTGTGCCTTGACATGAGGGGCATATAGCTGCTTAGGGGACACTTAGTCCCAGCCAGACAAGTGATGGTTGGCCATCATGTACAATCCATCCTCAACATCATCCCAGAGTCACTGATGCACTTAATCAACAATATCTAATGATTAGGGACTGCCCACTAGAGATGCAAAGATGCACAAATATTGTTTCTGCTTTGACAATCCAATAAGCAGTGCAGACAAATGAATATAATAGAAAGCAAAAAATAATTTAAGTGCCATCAGGAATTAAAAGTCATGTAATGTGAGCATGACTGCTTTGCACACTGTCTCAGATAAATAGGATGCTCTAATAAAAAAAATACCATTAAGTTTGGAACATCAGGTTTGAAAGTTTTGGTTCATCTTTCAAAAATAGAGTTCTACTAAGTGAAAACAAAATACATAATGATAGTTAAATGTGTGCTTGAATTCAAACTTTTATTTGCAACCTGGGTCCTAACAATGTCTTAAGGTCACATTCTGAACAACCTGTAACCCTAACACCAGACGCCTCTGGAGGCACACCAACTGCATGGGGTCCCACGAGCTCCTCTGCGGCCTCTCATATCTGACTTTAGTTCACATCTCGCCCAGTGCTGCTTCAGCCCGATGACTGCCTGTCCCCAGTGACGGCCTCAGCCAGCTAGAGACACACCTCACTGGGAGCAGATGCGTGAGCAGACCACATAAAGGGATTTGCAGTCAACAGCTTGTTCTGAGATCCAGCTGTGCTAAGTTTGTTACTTATGCTTACTTGAAGATTATTTTCTATCTATGCATTACCTTCCACTATGTTCAACAATCATTTATTGGAAATGCTGAGAATGCCTAATCCCTAGGAGGCATGGATGCAATCTATTTTCTCACCTTTAAAATCTAAGATTAAATGTTATCAGGTTATTAGAAATAATATTAATTGTACCCACGATTTACTTTTTAAATACAAATACTTACAGCATGAATGTATGAAAGTTTAAAAATAGTGAACTAAAGGTGTAATTTGGGATCTAAAATGCTTCCGTTTTTGAACCATGAGTATGTTTTCAGCCTGTTGTGTATCTATGTTCAAAAAGGTTTCATAACAGCCATTGCCTCAGTTCTAGTTGAAAACTATGAAATAGGTTGTAAAGCATTTTGTAATACTAGGATCTAGAAAATCTGTAATAATCTTTTAAAACTTAAGACTGACATTGTCATTTTTTTCATTTTCAGAAATCCTGCAATCACAAAACAATGTAAGTAGATTTTTAGTTTTCAAAATATCATCAAATACAGAGAAAAGAATGTCACAGCCCCAGAATTTTTATCATTGTTATACTGCCTGAAATTTCACCAATTAGAATTTGAGTTAACAATATCATCAAAATATTGACTTATGAGGGGTTACATTCAGATAAACCCATCATTAAATTGAAAATATCGTTAAGTAAAAAATGCACTTAATATACCTAATCGACTGATCAGAGCTTAGCCTAGCCTACCTTAAGCATGCTCACACATTTCCATTAGCCTACAGTTGAGTGAAATCACCTCCCACAAATCCTGTTTCATACTGAAGTGCTGAGTTTCTCATGTAACTTACTGACTCCTGTACTGACAGTGAGGAACAGAATGGCTGCATGGGGACAGAGTGCTGGTCAGTGCGTCTGGTGTTGACCCTCGGAATGGCGTGGTTGCTGGCCTGCCCAGCGTCACGAAGAAGATCGAACTGTGTATCGCTAGCCAGGAAAAGATCCAAATTCAAAGTATGGTTTCTACTGAATGTGCATCACTTTTGCACCACCACTGTAAAGTCGAAAAACCGTAAGTCAAACCGTCCTAAGCTGGACTGTCTGTAAATTATTTACGGGGTTAAGGCAGCATCTCACAAGCTCCGCTACAGTAACTTACTAATATGCATTTTTTAAAGATGTTATCGGTAAACCAAAAGCAGCTGAAAGCATGCAGGAGTGAGCAGTCAGCTTCGTGCCTTGCTGCAGCTCAGCGGAGGGACCTCTCCTTCCCCCAGATGACTCGGTTCGCTCCGTTTGACAGCCTTGTCCTCAGCTCTCTCCTTTCTCCCCAGGGTGGCTTCATCCCGTCCCATAAAGTCATCCCGTGAAGAGCCCTAATCCAACCTCTCCTGCCAAGACCCCCCAGCTGAGGTGCCGCTTGACACACAGCTCCCCAGGAGACATCGCAGAGACGAGGCGACTGACAGGCCATAGTCCCTGGCAGCATCTCTTCCTGCAGCACACCCGTCTGATGAATGTTACGAAGGTCATAAATCCTCGACTCCCTTCTCTCCCCTCGCTGTCATTCTAACTTCATTATACAAGTGACTCATTGTCTTGGTTTTCAAAAAATGATCAAGTACAGAGAGAAAAGAACTTCACAGACCCAGAACTTTTATCATTAAGTTATACTGTCAGAAGTTTCACCAATTACAAATTTGAGTTAACAATATCATCAAAATCCAAATACACCAAAGTTTAGAAAGTGAATTCATCCACCTTAGTGTGAATTACTCAAATCGCTACCTTTACTCACCCAAAGGATAAGCAGGGTTAAGAGGGTGTTTGATACTGAGGGACGGTCATTTTGGAGGCAGTACTAGGCTAAGGCAGCGTAAGGACATATATAACTTAGGGAAGGTAGAGAGATGTAGAGAAAACCAACAAATTTCTTAAGAGAAACTTAGTCCATGTCAAAGTTCTGCCTCAGGCAGAAACATAAGAAATAAATCCTTATTTCCAACATCCAACATCTTCCTGAACATCCTACTTTCCTACTTTCCTACTGCCAATACACAGAGTTAAGACTAAGAGTACATCTAAGCAATTATTATTTATTGGCACAAGATACTCTGCAAGGTCAACTACATCAGACAAAATTAAGGCTTCTGAAGGCTGATTTAAGAACCCATAGTTTTAACATATAAAAGCATATGCAAAATTTTAGCATTGTCCCAATGGGAAATTTCTTCTGAGCTCCTAAAATATGATTAATGAATTATTTGAGATCAATGTAAAATACAGAATTTCAAGATGACAGATATAAAGAGCCTTAAAAGACAGACCTAGGAAACATCCTTTCCATACGTACTTCTGGTGTTTGGGATACAAATTACTCACTGGTTCTATACAAGCAAAATGCAGCTAACAATAGGAATACACACACACACACACACACACATATCTGATAAAATATCAAATTCATTTTGTTAACAATGAAGGAAACAAAAAAAACTGATCAGGATCTTCAAAAGATGTATAATCTTTTCCTTTTTAACCATTGTAGAGGTAACTGAAATATGGATTTTAAATACGTAAATTAGTTTAAATACTATATAAACTTCCCCATTGGGAGAAATCTGTCTTTTGCATGCACTGATCCTCGTATTTAGATTATCTTGACTACATCTTCCCTGCCTGAGCTCCTTAAGGGATACTGTATCTCCGCGTGTTTATCCCAATGCCCAGGTGCATAGCAAACATGAATGAACAAACCAAACTATCAGATAATCAGTAGGTTGCAACAGCCTTCCTGTGGCCAGCCTCCCTGTCAGCGCCAACGGACCTACATTCACCCATCTCCAGTGAGTGGACTGGCAGGTTCTGGGGAGGTGGGTTGAAAAAAACACTTCTGAATACACTTGTGTGTGACTTGAATTGTCAGAAAGTACCTGCTTACTCTCCAATTTAAAATATTTAAGGAATACATGTACATGTCAATCTACTTATCTGGTACAACAGTAATTCACACTTTCTTTTGATGGAAGAAATACTCAGAAGATGTAAAATATGGAAGAATATCTAAGTGCCTATGATTAGATGCACTGAGTTCTCATAAAACATATAAATATTTTTAATTCAATTTAAAAAATGGTATTCCTCAGGATTTCAATGAGATGTACCAAATGTAACCCTAAGATTATCAAACCTTCTCATACAGCTGCCAAACAAATCTGAAATTATAAAAGCAGTTCTCTGCCTTGGGATTATGAATATACAAAAACGCATCTTTTTCACACAATTACTATAGCATTTTTGCCTTTAATTCTTCATCAATTAAATAAAGTTATAATCCAAATAAAACCCCCTGCTGAATCTAAATATTAATAATTTCCCTAAGCAAACACTACTATTTATCACGTGACTTTTTCCTTCAAACCCAAGATGAAGCTTCAATCCTTCCCAACCCAGAGCTGCAGGCAGTGACTCCCAACCAATGGATGTCAGCACAGATGCCACCTGTCATTTCTACCACAGGGATTAAGGCAATAAAACAAAAATTACATGTTAGGAAGGTGTAATTTAAAGTATGTACTTCATCATAGACTGTATAATATGAAGAATGTGTGTTAGTTCACCTAGATCAAAAACACTCCCTCCACAAGTGGTCAGCTACCAGGTAACAGAAACATCACATCCAGAGACAACTATAAAACCTTCTGCCCAATATTAGATGCTCTGCAAACTGGCAAAATGGATGGAAGAAATGAGCTATAACTGGGTGACATCATCAGTTGTTAATCAGCATAATGGATGTCAAGAAATGTTTTGTAGTTAAATTCACAGATTTAAGAAAACTGGATTGGCTAAAATATTACAGGAGCAGCTGCTGCCCATGCACAGAGAACACAATGATCTAGCAGGAGTAGGAGCTGGTATCTCTGCAGGTGATCAAGACTTGAACTGTGAACCGGCCCTGTGGGAAACTACAAGATCAGAGGGTAGCTGGTGGCCTGACGCTGACAAGTTCTCAGAAATGTGCTCCTAGAAAACTGCTCAGCTTTCAGATAGGGCAGGGACACTTCACCTGAAGGATAAGACCTGGGATTTCCACATATAGTTGTTTTGGGGACAGGTCCTCATCTGCTTGCCAATCAGTGACTAATACATATCTGTGTGCCTGGGCCTTGCTTTCAGTAAGATCCAGGAGACACACTTGTAGAAGGTGCTAATCTTCATCAAATTCTAATAATTGGTGACTAGTAGCTATGAAAAAAAACCTAACAGTTGGGCATGGCCCAACTGTTTCAGTAAGGCACGTGCCAGTGTCGACGTGTAAGATTTCACCCTGCACAAAGATGGCCTCTATTAAACAGTGGACAAGAGCAAAGGTGTGGGAAGCTTTTCCCTGTTTTTGTGGGTGGGCATATGGTACCAGTGGACCCACGGCCACCACTTCGGTTACTGAGAACCCAGTGGAGGCCAAGCTGTGTGCTCACAATGTCCATTGGGCTTTACCTGCTTGGCAATTAAAACTGACTTCAGGCGGTGATCTGAAGAGCTGTGATCAGCAGAGCCATGGGGGTGGAAAGCCCCTTCAGTGATTAAGTAACATCAAACAACTTTACATACGCCCTGTCCTGTGGTGTCCAAAATTAAAGCAGAAAGTGAGATCTCCATCCCCATGTAAATTTGACGTGGACATACTTCCTGCGCACACGCTACAGCTCCAGCAACATTACTCAGACCTCGTGCAAGATGCAAGAGCGGAGGGAGTTTATTTCAACACCCACTTAATTGCACAACCGAGGGTCTTCCCTCTAACCTTCACTGGAAGTGCTTGATCTGCAAAGTAAGGACACGCTAAAAGGCACATATCAAAAGAAGAATTAGCAGGATTCCACAAATGCCTTCTAGGCAATGGATGTGCTCCATGAAAACCATCTGCATATAGATAGCTATCAGCATTTGGCTGCACCCATCTGCGTGAAAAGGCATTTTCAAAGGTAAAATACGTAAAAAATCTAACAGGTCAGCCTTAATAAACAATGGGAACCCTCAATTTGAATCTCGATTTATTCCAGCCCCCAAAACAAAATTCTGTTGTTCTCATGAGACTTGTATTACAAAAAATTTATACTCTTTTTTTGTCAATAAGCATTGTGAAAATGTCTATTTTCTCATTACATGAACACCTACATACTTTGGTTTTGCCTCCTGCCCCAAAGCCTAAAATATTTACTATTTGATTCATTCCAGAAAAACTTCATTGATCCATGAAATAAACTACATTGAAAATAAGTTGATCTAGTCCTTTACTGATATGAATATAGAAATAGGACATTTTTTAAGAAAGCAAATTTTACATTATCCTACATTACTAGGATAATGTAATTCTATGCATGCAGTAAAAGCCCCTTAAAACATGTACTTGCACTTACGTGTACACACACGCACGCACGCACATAGCACCTGGAAGGAAATACACTGAACTGTTGGCAGGGACTGTTTCTAGTGGACACTAACCCTGGTTAACTTTCTAGTGGGCACTGGGGCCCTGAGGAGGCTGCCCCTGGCTGCCCTTCTGACCTCGTTTCTGTCCAGTCTTCCTTGTCCAAGGAATCCTTGCTGGGCTGGCTCTGTGCAGGTCCTGCCAGCGTTTTCTTCCCAGGACATTTGAACTGGATTCCTCTGGCTGAAACATGACTCCGGCAGTCATGGGGCTACCTCCTCACCTGTGCCCAGGCCTGTGAGCTAAGGTCACCTCCTTCAGAAGCCTTCCCTGGCTGCCTTATCTGTCGCACTTGTGTGGTTCTGCACGTCACACGTCGCTCACAACCTGGCATCCTGCTAACACTCACTCACTGTCTGGCCTCCTCACCTGGACTTGACCTCTGAGAGGGGCACAGGCTGTCTCCTTCTCTGCCATCTCCCTGAAAACCAGAAGAGCTCCTGGGACAGGACAGGTACACACGAACAGCTGTCACCTGACCTAGTTTGTGCAAGGAGGTAAGTGAAAAGAGCAGGATAGGAAATTTCATTCTTTTTAGTGATTTTTGTTGCAGTGAGCATGTTTTGTGTACCGTTTGTAAAATTAGAGAATAGAAGTTTAAAAGGAAAAAATTACTCATTAACACAATTTCAAAGATGATTTTTTTAAAAAACAAAATTAAGAGCTTCTCCCTCCATCCTGGCTCTGTTAATGTTGACTACGGAACCCCTTTGTAACTTGTTCTTGCAACCTTTCCTGCACGCTGTGTATGTCAGATCTTGCCAGGGCCAGTGGGTGAAAGTGAGCAGAAAACAGAAACTGAAAAAAGACCTTTATTTCAACATAAAAGATTTGGAGCTATAACTTGATGTACAGAAGAGTCTTGACTGCTTCACCACCTCAGCATACACAGACTGCTTCTTTCATCTGTGTTAGGTTCCCAGAGAGCCGGGATACCAGGCGGGGCCGAAAGTGGGCAATTAAAACATCAATGGGTCTCGACTTTATCATAAAACTAAGGGATTAGATTTAGGCTAGACAAAATGTAAGTCCCTTCTGTCCTAAAACGGAATGACTTCTGTCTCTTTGGAATGACATAAAATAAGGTGACTCTAGAAGATACCCTTACGTTAGAGCCAGAGTAAGTCTGTCCCTGCCTTGGAGGCGAACTGAGTCGCAGGAGGGCCCTGCCGCACTCCATCCGCTGGGTTAACAGTGAATCGCCACATGATCGCCGAACTCTGGAAGGCCTACGCCTGCCAGCCCCTCTTCCTCCTCTAAGTGCCCGAGACCCCAGGGGCGGTGGACCCTGGGTAGGCCCCAGCACGGACCTACGCCTGCTTCCCAGAATCACTGCATCTTTCTCCACAACACTGGGGTATACGGTGCACCACAGTCTGAAGCCAGATTTTTTCACATAATTTATATTTCCATTTCACTATATATTATTGAAAAGCTTAAAAAATACACAAGATAAAAACTGAGAATGAGAATGTAAGCTTTAAGAACATTATATTCTTAAGTACCAGAACAATTCTACATATCTACTGTTTTATATTAACTTTAGAGTAACATTATTTTTAAATAAATATTTTGAAAACACACTACTCAGCCTAATGGATCAGAAAATAGAGTTCCTTGTCAAAATATATTTTCAGAAAGTTAAGAATTAATAACAATTTTAAAATTAGGTTAAAAATACACAGAATTAATTCTTATTGTGATATGACTGTGAGGTGATTTTGGGGTATTTATATACCCAAGGAAAAGACATGAAAATACATGTGATCATTTTAACCCCTAACCTCTCCGTCTTGCAAAGGGTGGTTAAAAATTTGAAGAATGGAGAAATGATGAGAAACTAAAAAAAAACTGTCTTACTGAAATTTCAGCCCAATCTTTAGGTAAAGATGGCTGACGTCCACGATCTCTTCCCTCCTGATAGCCAAGACCTGCTTGTGCTTGTCACTGGAGAGCAGAATGTATTTCCGACTGCACCTGCTTCTGCTGCCATTACTACGACCACAGTTCTACTTTGTTGCTATGTTACAATTAAATTACAGATAGGAACGATCTATTTAAATGACATGCTTAAAGCAAAATACGGGTCAAACTAGGGCTGTTCCTTGAATGAACTTCTTAACTGAGCAAAAACGTTAAGAAAAAATTTTCTTTACAGCTGACAATGCCCAAAATTTCTTCAAAATAAATACTGATATTCCCATTTACTTATTCATGCCTTCTCTTCATAGAAACAACAGCTTATACTACCTTAACTTCCCTTCTAAAATAAACCGCCTCACCGTGATGCACCAAGACTTCTTAAACCGCTTAGTCTGCCTGCGCACAGCAACCACTTACAGCAGGAGGCTGCGGAGAGGCGTAAGCAGCAGCCCCTCTGGGCTCATTCACCCTGGGGCGTCGCTCACTCTTCCCACAGACAGGAAAGAAAAGGCCTGGGGAAATGTGTGCCGGCAGATTTCACCAACAGGCCCAGGAACTCCCAAGGGTGGTAAGGGATACCTGGAGAACGTACAATGAATTTATCACTGGAAAATAGCAAACGCACATTCTTTAAAATTAAAATATGGGAAAAGGGAAACTGTTTAATTATGAAAAGGTCTGTGAGGAATTTAAAAGACGGGTACCCATAATAATACTTGGAAAAGGAGTCACATACTTTTGCCACTACAGCCCCCGGAGCAGTTCTCCCTCTCTCCTGCAGAGACTCCTGCTGCACGGCCCCCCTGGGCAGGCGGCTCGCGCCCACTCTGCACCTCGCCCTTGGCGGGGGCAGCCCACTGGACACTCTTCACGCCCGTCAGCTCTCTCGTTGCTCCCCTGAGTCCTCTCGGGGGAGTGCAGCCACTATGATGTCCCTTCCCGACAAGCTCCTTGTGACGAGCGGGCTCATCAGTGACGTGAGCATAGTCATTCCCACCTGGGCTTCTGTCTTGTCTTTTCTGGGAGTCAGCCTCGTGACCACACCCCGGAGTTTCTTTAGCAGGAGATGCTTCCTGGGCGGTCATGCAACCCAGAGTTGTATTTGCTACCTCATTAGTGGGTGTGTGAAAACTGGATGTGGAGTTTGCTACTAAATCAGTACCGTCAACTGATCTGGGTTTTTTACCAATACAGGAAAAATCAGACATTTCTAATATGTTTGTTCTCTCTCTCTTGGAAAGAATTCTGCTGTGGAGCTGAGCAGGGTTTGTTAATGACTGGAATCTAGGAAGATTCTCTGAATTCCTTTCCTTAAGATTATCAGGTGAAAAATAGTCATCATATGTGGAGTCCTCACAGCCTGGAGTCCTGCTGACAGGCCCTGTCGTGAACGGGCAGCTGTTTTCCGGCTGGAGAGGCTGCGGTCCTGGCAGAGGGGGTTCCCCACGGCACCTTCTCTGCTCCAGCTTTTCTCTGCGGAGGGAACGTAAGTTCTCTGACGTTCTTCTCTCAGCCGAGGGACTCCTGAGCCATGCGTGTCCCAGTGGGGGGCCTTTTGTTGCAGATAATGTGGGAGACAAATGATACTTCTCATCCAACATCTCCTTAGATCCTCCCTCACACTGCCGGGCAGGGGCACCTGCTGCATCTGTAGGAACTCCCTGCCCCTTTACCACGTCCTTTGCAAGGTTACCCACGGATTTCTGAGGAGGTAACTGACTGAGGTAATGGGGAGCTCCTGAGGGCTGCATGCTACTCGTTTTCAATACAGGTGAAGAAAGACATGTATCGCTTTTCATTTCATCAGTGAATCCTCCCAATTTCCTTTCCTGATTTCCACATCCTGAATTCCCACAAAGATCGTGAAAAGATGTATGCAGGCCACCAGCAAAGGATTCATCTGGAAAATATTAATAAAGAATTAACTTTTTCAGTGGTTTAATGGTTATAAAGGTACTTTTCAGTTGACCGATAAAGTAATACTTTTAAACATAGTTATTAGTTAAGAGTATGGCCCATACCTGCTCCTTCTCGTTTCCACTCAGGACACCTTTAAGGGCAGCATTTTTAACGAGGGAGCCTGGGCTTCAGTGTTCGGATGGGACGGGCAGGGAGGAAGAGGTAAACCTCTGACACTGTCACACACTCCTGCTGGAGGCCCAGATGCACCTGCACTTCCCCTGGAAGGGCGTCCACCCCTTGTCATTAAATTCTCAAGGTCAGATTCTGAAAGTCAGGGACCGCCACTACTGTCAAAGCCAAGATCTAGTCCTCCATGAAGCAGTCCACCATCGACACAGCCCGCCCGACTCTCCTACCCTCTACTGAAGTCCTCACATTATATTTACAGTCAAAAGGAATCCACCAGGTGGGTCTTATGTTCTGACTTCCCATACATTTTATCCATTTCTTGAGAGTAATGCTAAACTGCCACTATCTCCTGAAACTATGCCCATGTTTATACCTCCAGGCCTTGCCTTGATCCACACCTTAATCTAAGTCCTAATCTGCCTTCAAAACCCACTGTGGGTGCCAAAACATCTGAGCCCTCGCACTGACTTCACCAGGTCTTCAGGACTCCGTTACCCTGGTTTCTGCCTGAATTTATGAAAGAATGTAACACACCGTCATCCTCAGTATCTGTCTCTGTCACTAGACCAGAGGCTTGCAGAGCACAGACACTCCTTTCTGGAATCTGAAGCCCCCAAGCTGGTGTTGCCTCGCCAACAAGGGCCCAGCCTTTGCTGAACAGATGGAGGGCCTCCACTTCAGGCTGCACAAGGCTGGGAAGCATAACCAACACTACAAAAGCTGTACATTTAGGGGAGAACAGGGGACTGCCAGGGAGCAGGGGGCAGCCCACGGGGTGTGGCGGCATGGTGCCCATACCATGCCAGGGGGCCCAGTGTCGCCAAGTCAGGGGCTGGGAATAGAGGTCACTTTTGATTTCAGAGGCTAATAAACTTAGCACATTTTTCAAAAAGCTGACAAGCAGTGTAACATGTCATTAATAGTAAATTCTTAAGTTATACCTCCTAGGTTCAAATCCTGGGCTGGTAATTCACAAGCTGTGTGTGACCACATACAGTCTGACCTCTCCAACCCGTTTTTTTCAGGGACAAAGTGGGGACAATGGCACCTAGGTCACAGGGCTGATGGGAGAACTTAATGACTCCATCACAAGACAGGGAACAGGGCCTGGCCCAGGAGAAATGGGACCCACATTACTTGTGATCATCACCTGTCTCCAAGTCCCAGGCAGGAAATACAAAGATGGGCTTGTTTGAGATAAATGGCTAAGTAACTTCAGTACACGCCAAAGACATCACATGAATAGGCCACACATAGAAAAGGAAGCTTTAGTTTAGCTCCTGCTATCTTGATAGCAGATGTGATCTGTCTCTGTTGTGGTTTTCATAGTAAGATTCCATAACATTTCAAGCACTTTGAAGCCCAATTCTTTGAGGGTCATTGATACTTACTTGGGCCCTATTGTGGGCTGGGTGAGGAAATTCTAAGAAATGTGATATAACCAAAGGAAAGCTACAGCCATGAAAAATGATCATTCAAAGAGAAACAGGACTCCCACACTTAAAAAAATGTATGTATTAATATTAACTCTAATTTTTTAAATTTTTTATATTAACTCTAATTTTGTTAATTCTTTTCAACACTCAGCTTCTAATTAGAAACCCTCCATGTATTCCCTAAATCTTTAAATGATCTATACATACTTCACTGACCCCATGCAAACACATGTCCCATATATTCATCATGCCTGATGTGAAACTATTTTTCCTTGGCATTCTTACTGTTCTCAGGAACATACAATTTAAACTGCATGCAGATTAGTTCACATATCAACAGAGTGAAAACAAAATCAGCAATTGATCTGGTGCCAAAAAAGCAAATGCCCAGGAGAAAACCATAGGAATTAAAAACAAGTTTAACTATGCCATTTTCTCATGCCTTAATTTTATTACAATACCCATTTTTTTCTTACAATACCTAATTTCAGGGTGAAATTCATGAGTTCTAGTTTTCAACTAACAGTTCTTCTCATCAGAAAAATTCCAAATAAGAAAATCATACTATTTTCAAAGCTTCATTGTATCACAGAAGACAAAATAATTTTACCTGAACACAAAGTATCCCGAGAAATGTTCAAAGATGCTTCCCAGGAGGAGGCAACCGAGCGATCGGGAGAGTTTCCAATCACCTGGGAAGCTGAAAACATGATCACAACTTTCATGAGACACGACTTTCATTCTTTAGTAGACGAAGGCCACAGGACAGCTACCACGGTGTCCCGTCTCACACCCGCATGTGCTTGGGCCGCAGGCTCTCGGTCCCTATTTCTTGGCTCGCCCAGAGTGCCCTGCCTTGCAGCTCCTCAGCCATAAATGCCCGCTCTTAGCTTGCGACCAGGGCTAGCCAAAACTGACTCCTGGCGCTTGGACCTGGGCAGCAGCATCGGCGCGGGCCTCTGGAAAGGCTGCTCAGCGGGGGTCTGGCTCACCCGGGAGGCACACACATTTTAAAACAGAAGTCAGGGCCCAGGAGGGCGAAGCAGAAGGATGGGAGCCTAGATCCCTGAAGACGTTGCACCCTGACTTCTTTGCCATTACAGAGAAATGCCTTTCTATTGAATTTAAGCCACTGGTTTTGTGTTTATCTGTTCTACGTAGCCAAAACTCACCTCAGCTGATATGGGTGCCCATGGCATATTACATACAAATATAAATTCAAGACAGATTAAACAGCTAGCCTTCAAGAACAAACCATGACAGCAATGGAAGAATATACAGAGCCATTTTAAAACCAGGAATCTGGGACATTATAAGGAGAAGACAGATTTGTCTACATAATGTATGTTTTGCAAAACTTGCTGCACACTAAATGACAAACAACAGATTTTGTGTATTTTACTCAACAGTGTATTTACTGAGTGCCCACTACATATTGCTCCACCCTGGACAGCTAGATTACGTTTGCAATGCACAAGCAGTTAAGTGTCATTGATATACAAAAGACCACTAAGAATCAGAAATAAAAAGAAAAATTTAATAGGCAGCTGGACAAAGACATATCCAGAGATAACAGCATGTTTCATCAGTGAGTCACAGTAACATGAAAACATGTTCAACCTCATTAGCAAATTCACTATCCACTGCAAAAGGAAATTAGGCCAAAAAAAAAGCAGTTTTTCAATCTCATATTGAAAAAGATACAAAGACAATGCTATACAGTTTTCCAAGTGTGGAGAAACTGTGGAGTTCTTAAAGATGACTGGTGGGAGGCAAAAAATGGCACCAAGTTTTTTAAGGGCAACCTGAGAATACCATCAAAAATTTTTATTTCTGCCTTTACAAATTAACATTATTGAAATACATGAAAAACACGAATGTACAGGTTTATGAAGCATGCCCATTAGCATATGGATGTTAACAGTAAAAAGTGGGGAGAAGCTTTATGTCCATAGATAAAAATGGTTAAAGAACAACCCTACCATGTAGTTTAAAATGAGTAAAAACTGCAGCACTCTCGCCAATAAAGAAAAACTGGAAAAATACCTGCCAACAGATGATTCAATATCAAACTTCTAGACTACTTTGCAGCACCTTAAGAAATAAAGAAGAAAAGGAAAAGGAGGTGGGCTCACACCTACTGACCTGAAAAAAACCCCAGAACACTTTTAAGTAGAAAAAGAAAGCTGACATAGGCTGTCATAAGCCAATGTTGGTAAAGGAAAGCAACATGTCCACACAGGAAGGGTAAGGAGCCCGCATCTTCTGCATACATTCACAGATTATGTGGTGCCCTGAAAAAGGTAGGGAAAAGCATATCGACTTAAAATGTGGGTCACCATGGGGAAAGAAGAATCGGGGAGAAATCAAAATGGGTTTATATTATGAACCATATACTGGTAAATGTTTTAAGAAACTGTGCTTAGTACTACTTGATTAAAAGATTTAAAGATAAAAGAAATAAAGGGAATATAAACTGATGCTTTAGATCTTTAATGTAAAGCAAATTCCTTCAGAAGAAACATACAACTAAAAAGAAAGAAAATCCCTGGAGGAGCCTTACAGTAAGATTTTCTGGAAAATATTAACAAAGTCTACCCTGAAATAAGTCAAAACCTGTTAGAATCGGGAAACATTAACTAAAATAATGAGAAGGAAAAAAACTTTAAACCACAATTCATTCACCAATTTGCATATTTTTCATGTCATGAAGTGTGAGCACTTACAGGTTGGGGAGAGGTTTTCCCTTTTCTCCTTCATCTCCTGTAATCTCTTCTCCATCGCACTCTGCTGCCCGCTGTACATTTTAATTGTGGGACTATACACCAATGAACCACTAGGGTCAAATAAGAGAACAGGCACACCATTATCTGAAAATGAAAAAAAATCCAAGTTTAAGCTTGAAAAAATGCTGTCCTACTTCAAAAGTAACACCCCCCCACCCCCGGTTTCCTCTTCTGGTTCAACATCATTACCATGTCCACCCACAGACACCCAACCACCACCAGCACCTCCATGATAGGTAAGGACACCTGCTACAGACATCCACGTGCCAGCCCGGGGCTAAGTCCAATGTGCCTGAGCTCACTGGGCCTTCCCCCAAACCCAAGGCCCATTTAAAGAGAAAGAAACGAGATGCAGAAGGGAAGTGACTTGAGTACGTGGGATCACACAGCTAGTGAGGACATAAAGCCAGAATGCAACGGGGCTCCTAAACATGAGGGCAGCAGACTATGCCACCCTGAAACATGACATTTTGGCATAAGGGTTATTCTGAGCTAAAGGCATTTTACAGCAGGTGCAAGAGGTCTGACTCAGCCCCTCTTTCTTCCTGCAGGCTGGAGATAAACCTCCTGGTGAGAGACAGCCTGCCTGTACCAGAAGGAAAGAAACATTCTTTTCACCAGAGACGGGAGTGGAGGCCAAGGGAATTCTGTGTAACAGACCTCATTAGAGGAACTCTTATCTTCCTTTGGTCCCCTTATGTTTTAGTTACTTTTCCACAGTTGCCTCTCTTTGTTCAGCCTAGTTCATAGGCATTAGGTTTTGCCACGTCTTTGAGTCTTCCTATCATGTCCTTGTGAGGGCGCCCATGTCATGAACAACTGATGTGAACGGGAGTGCTTTCTCCTGCTCATCTGGCTTTTGTAACAGAGCCCCCGCTGAGCAGCTTGGAGGGCAGAGGGAAAGTTCTGTCCCTCCTATGATGGTTTCAGTAACAGCCACCACTAACCTCCTTGCCACCTGCCCTCAAGAGCCACTCACAGAAACACACGAACTTTGGGGTCAGGGGATCCTTGAGCCATGAAACGATGGGCTACAGTGTGTACGGGTGCACAGCCCCCAGGTGCTCAGAGAACTCTGGAACTCCGACCACTCCCCACTCCCATAAAAAGAGCAAGAATCATTCAATATCCTCTCCTTTGCATCTCAGAAGCCTGAACAACTTTTACTGCACTTCCAACAAATGCAGACATACATTAGTTGTATCTTTAATACCTTACATTTGTAGTTTTTAAAAGGCAATTTTTATCAAGATACAAATTTGGTCTAAAATGAGAATATTTTGTGTCAGTCATTACCTGTTTGACAAATTATTTTCAGATACCCAATGTCTGATGAGGGAAAGGAAGCACAAATGGCAGAAGTATGAAGGACAATAAGCCAGTGGGGCCCTGCTATGTGGGGGTGGGGCCAGATCACAGGGGCTGTGGCAGGCTGGTGTGTTACCATAACAGATTCACAACAAGCCTAATAATTCTACATGAATAATTTCAAAATACACAGCAAAGACTTTGTGACATAGCAATACAGACTAAAAAACAACACTAAGGAATTAATGCTTCCTACTTCTATGCTATACATTATATATTTACCAGTGATGCACTGGGATTGATCTTAAACACTGAATTTATAGGGTACTGAAAAAGGATAGTGAAATCACCTCACACCCATCAGAATGGCTATTATCAAAAAGACAAGAAACAATGTATTGGGGAGGATGTGGAGAAAAGGGAACCCTTGTGAGTTGTTGATGGAAATGTAAAATGATACAGCCACTATAGGAAACAGTATCGATATTCCTCAAACAATTAAAACTAGAAACACTATCCAGCAATTCCACTTCTGGGTACTTATCTGAAGAAAATGAAAACACTAATTCAAAAAGATATCTGTATGCCCCATGTTCACTGTAGTGTTATTCACAATAGCCAAGACATGGAAGCAACCTAAACGTCCATCATGGAGAAATGGGTAAAGATGACATGATACTTAGACACTATGGAATATTACTCAGCCATGAAAAAGAACGAAATCTTGCCAATTGCAACAACAGGGATGGACCTTGAGGGCACTATGCTAACAGAGAAAGACAAATACCATGACTTCATCTACAGGTGGAATCTGAAACACCACCACCAACAAAAGCAAAGAAGCCTGAGTTCACGGATATAGAGAACAGACTGGTGGTTGCCTGACGCAGGCTGGGGGGCAGGTGAAAGGTTAAAAGGTACAGACTTCCTGTTATAAAATGAGTAAGTCATGGGGACTTACTACAGTTAGTAATTCTGTATTGCACATTTCAAAGTAGCTGGGAGAGTGCATCTTGAAAGTTCTTACCTTGAGAAAAAATATTTTTTGTAAATATGTATGGTGATGGATGCTATGTGGACTTACTCTGGAGCTTATTTTGTAACACATACAAATATTGAATCACCACACTGTACACCTGAAACTAATATACCTCAATTTAAAAAATGAAAGAAAGGACTTTGTGATTAAACATATAAGGACACAATTTTCCCTATTTTTGATTCTGTAAAAGCAGCCTGTTGCTACCTAGAATTAAAAAATCTAGCTAATCTATCCTCTAAATTCATCATGTAATATTTGTAGCCTTGTATAAGACACAACCATAAACAAAACTGTGTGCCACTGTTTAAGTGTTTCAATGTTTTACAAATAATTCAAAACAAAGAACAAAATATCTTGAAGCCAACAAATTACTACACAGGAAAAAAGAAAAGCTGTATAAATAATGTCTATTTCAAAGCATCAGGGAACTAATGAAGAAACAAGGACCAGAGGGGTCAGGAATCTGGAGAGGAGAAACAGGAGGTGACTGACAAGCTATGGATGCTTTTACCACCGGGACTGTGAGCACAGAGCCCACGGTAAGAGGCTGAGTCCTGTCTTTACGCAGGCAGAGTTCCTGCTGAGAAATCAAGATACTAGCTAAGTGCTTGTCAGTCTCACCAAACTGGGGAGAAAACAAAGCTTCAGAGCACAAATTCCCAATAGAAAGGGCACAGTAGAGAACTGGTACTTGCATGTACATTTTTATCTTGAAGAAATCTGCCGAATTCTAAAGCTACAAGTGGCAGGACAGCAAAAGGACTTTGTGATTAAACATGTAAGTCTTCTGTGAAGTGGTGACGTTTTCTAAAGTTCACTGTTGCTGAGAAATGAAAGACAAAGTTCAGGGCAAGCAGGGAAGGGTCCCGGGTATCAGAACAGGCTCTCAGTGGAAGGTCTAGATGGTTATATGCTGGCATCAGTGTCCAGACAAAAGTCTACCAAGCCTTCCCCAAAGCGCGAGGAAGCTCCTATTCAAATCAGCCCCTATTCCAATTACTGTGAACACGCCCCCATGCCACTAGCTTACAGAGGGAGTTGGAAACCTTGTGGCTAGGCTCAGAGTATCACCTGGGTCTTTAAACATATAGTATAACTAATCACTTGCCTTCAGTTTAAAAAAAACTTAGTCCTACTAAGAGACAGGACTATATGACCAAAAGCAAGGGAAAAACTCATACAAAGACAGCAGTGGACTGTACATACTGCAGATGGAAGACAAAGAAAGATGACAAAGAAAAACTGTGGGTGTTTTAATCAGAATAACAGAATCTATAAAAAATAATTGGGAATCCTAGAACTGTAAAATAAAATTACTAAAATTATGAACCCAAAAGATGGATTTTATAGCAGATTAAATACAGCAGAAGAACATATTAGTGAACTGAGGAAAGGTCAACAGACACTATTTAAACTGATGCACAGAAGAAAAACAGAATCCAAACATCTCTGTGAACTCCAGCTAGGCTACTGAAAAAGAGAACTGCACCAAGGAACGTCATGCTCAAACTGAATTTCAGGCAAACACACACACACACAAAGGTAACCAAAACATACACACCTTTAACACAGCAAAATTAAAACTGTGAGCCAATCTGTCAATAGGTATTATGAAGGCCCCAATTCCAAAGATGATGGAATGTCTTCTCCCACCCCTCAGCTTTCCTGAGGTATAACTGACAAAAATTATACATATTTAAGGTTGAAAAAAAAACTATCATCTAACATTTGCTTATTTTGAGTAACAGAACGAAAAGACTGAATATTAGGTAAAAATACAAAGTTACATATAAAACAAAGAAGAAATAAATAGGCATCTATTCTACTAGGGCTTATTAGTCAATGCTTGCCTTTTTTTTATTCTTTCTAGAATCATTCCTGAAAGTAAAAGCTTCATCAATCTGGTAAGTGATTAAGCCTTTCTGGTCTATTAGCTCAACTATATGGTGGCCCTATATACACCTGTACTCAAGGTCCTCTGGGCAATTTACATTTTGTTCTCTCCTTCCTAGGCTGGACTACTGCAGTCCTCTTAGCTATGTCATCCCAGATGCCACTGGCTGCCAGGCAAATTAAACTGCAAGTGCAGACACAGGTGCAAAGGGCCATGCTCTACTTCCTAGCTACCCAGACACAAGCACAAAGAACCGTGCTCTAATTTTGGCTTACCCATAGTTGTTTTTTGCCTTTGTAGCTCTTTAGCCATTTTCTCAAATTTCTTCTGAAGTCTTTTATCATTTTCTGGTGTTTTAGGGATAAAATCTTTGGGCTGCATACACTTACGCTGTGCAAAAAGAACATAAAAATGAACAATACTGTATTAAATTGTGTAAGACAGGAAGAGAACCCTTTCATGTACATTTCTGATACCTTCTATAACAAATAACTTTAAAAACTTTCTTAAAAAGGTATTTCTTGCACTACATGTTAAATGGCAATATTTACTTTTGTGCAATGTTAAAAATCCATACAGAATTTTAAGACTGAATAAAGGGCTGTACACTAAGAAGCTGTGTGTTTTCTGAGACATTTTTAGGATCCCAGCATTTTTAGTTTCCAGGAAGGTTGTCAAACAAAATTAGTCATTTTCCTTATTTCTGCTACTCTCACATTATCTCCTCTCCCCTCAAAAAAAGTTATGACATAGTACTAAAACACAAAGCAAGTACTTTTTAACTACCAAATAAAAGAAACATTAGTTTTGCCTTGTAGTCTTTAAATCACAGTAACTCTATTCAGCCGGTAAAAATAAAAAAAACTATACATGTACAAGGTGTGACAAATAAAACCTCAAACACACAGGGCCCAAGGCTAATGTAATACCCAAAGGAAGGCTTGGGTGAACTTTTCCATCTCACCACCCTCAGTCTTTCAAACATACCTACATTCACAACCCCTACTTTCTCTTTAGAACTCCCCATGTAGCCTGGCCACACCCCGGATATAATAGCTGGTCTGTACTTTGACTTTACCTACTACGGCTTGGGCACCTGAGCTCTCCCTTAAGAACCCTGGAAAAACAGGTCTTCTTTCTAGGCCTCTCTGGGTTTTCAGGTTGAAGCTCCCAGCCTAAATATGCTTACACCATGTGTAGTCTAACCTGCTTTGTTCCAGTCTTAAAAAACTTCTCCTAGCCACTCAAGGCTAAAGTCCACTCCTGACTTCATGATTCAGCATCTTTTCTGTCCTTAGTTATTCATTCATTCACCATTTAACAGGAATGTTATTACACATCAGGTACTGGTCTTGAAGCAAAAATACAACAAACAAAATTCTGAAGAAGTTACCAAACAGCTGAGCTTACTGGTCTCTTGGCAACTTTTAGTTTTCCCTTGAAATACCGTCTCTTCCATTTCTTACAAATTATATCAAAACATTTATGGGCTAAAATAACCCCTATAATTGACTAAAAAATGGTCTGTGAAAAGAACAGTATCATCGATGCAATATTTAAGACGACTCCTGAACATATTTCTAGAAGTTTGATTTTCTAGGAATAGAAAAATGAATTCATAGCTGCCACTATCTTACTCAACTACATACTTACTTTCCTTTTAATGAGGCTTGGTAAGTGGTCCTTAGTATGAGCTGCAGGGAACAGTGACTCGTCAATGTGGGCCCCAGCTGTCCTGCATCTGTGTGAGCAAATTGAAGCAGCATGAGCATGTGTGTATCATATTCACAAAGCACTAAATCTGTACGTGTCAGCAAAATAAGGAATCTGTGCACAAACATGTCTTTTAAAATAAGTACATTTATTACTAAACACAAAGGACAATATAAACTCACTTTCCAAAACCTTCTATGTTGTTTTGTAAGTATAAGTGGAGAAGCAAGAAGTAGGTGAAGGAGATATTTTTAGGAACAGTTTCAGACTTCAACACACTTAATAATGACCAGCACGCAGCACTCACAGGCAGGAGCACATGCCATTAAGTGAAGAGTACACATGCCGTAGGAGGCCTACTCTGGAGCTGGAGCATCCTCAAGAAACCAAGGCCAGATGCTCACTTTTCCTCCAAAGCCGGGCTCTGTCCGGTGTGCATGGCCACAGAGAGCAGGCTGTGCCGCCTGCTGCTCCTGCCTGCACCCAACCCATTGCCACCCACCACACCCCGTCACCTGTCCTGCCAAGATCTTCACCCTCTTGCCTCTTAGGAATCCCTCAACCATTCCCTGCTTCTACGCACGTAGCCATTCAATCTAAGCAGTCACAATGATTTTCTAAATAATCTCCTTGCCTGTGGTTTCTCTTCTTCTAATTCATTCATATATTAATGAAATATTAACATTAAAATGTTTTATTCATCACTCCACAACCCAGATCAAAAACCTTTGATCACCCCCATGTTTATAGAATAAGCCCACCTATCTTAAACTGAAGTTTAAGTTCTTTTTAAGACATGGCATGTAACTACATCTCAAACTGTATTTCATAAGACTATCACTGTTCTGCATTTAGCATGCAAAGGGTAGTTGAAAATATGATGAAGAACAGGGTGAGTTTAAAAAAAGAATGAGACAAATATATCCATATTGATATAGAAAGCTCTCTAAAATACATTAAACATTAAAAGGAAATAAAATACTTGTGTGTATTGAAAGACAATAAAGAAAACAAAAGTCACAGACTAAGAAAATATTCACAACATTTATATCTGAATTAAAAAACTGGTACGCACACTATGAAGAGAATGAGGACCTGTCTCTTAGGAATGTGGCTCTTTCAAGACGATTCTTCCCTTGAGCAGGGCTTACTAGCTCCTCCCCATTCGAGCAAAGTGTCGCCTATTTCCCACTTTTATAAGCAACAAACTAGCAAATGAGAGGCCCCCCCACCAAAAGCATCCAAATAGAAGACTTGGATGAAAAGAGCTGGCATCATGCACCATCACACCCATGACACTGACATCACAGTCATCGTCATAAACTCAGGCAACTCAAGGGAGCCTCACGCCATCCTGGTGGGTCAGTACTACTGTTTTCTCCCACTTTAGCTGAGGAAACAGGCTCACAGAGGCTCATTTGCTGAAGTTTAAAAAACCAATCAGTATGCTCCACTAGTTAACAGTTTGGGGAAAAGCTTGGTTCACTTGGGTAGAACAGGTGCCTAGGCCAGGTGACGTAGCTGAAGGTATGTTCTGTCCCTGTGGGGAGTGAGGGTCCAACAATCTGTCACATGATAAGAAGCAAAGCTGCAGAGAGACACCCCCTGAATCTACCGGGGTTTAAACATGCTCGTTCACGAGGAAGAAACAGGTGGCCTGTAACACTGGTAATGTCACTGCACGCACGACAATGTGTGGGTCGGTCTGCAAGCCTAGTACAATACTGAGGACCTGACATTAAAGCCCAGTTATCAGACAATCAAAATCCACTGAATAAACAAACAAAAAAGGCTCACGAGTTGAATTTCCACTTTTCCTCAGAAATGTAAAATGATAACATTACCCCCTTACTAGTGGTTAAGAAGCGTTCCAACAGAGTCCCCTGAAAGCAGAACCGACTTCAGTCTGGAACTGCTGCTTGGGAACCACTGGGAATGAAGCGGCAAGAGTCAGCCTTCCCTCTGGGTTCTCACCTGGTCCCCCCTCCAATGAGCCTTGTCGCCTGCGCACTAAGGAGCCCTGGCACTTCCCAGCAGCCTGCCAGGGCCGCCCACCCCCGCTCCTCTCTGGACAAGCTGGGCCTGCAACAGGGCCCACTATGCTCATGCCTTACCCACTGCACGCCACCACCTGATCCCCTAAGGCAGGCGCCAGAAGCATTTTAACCTCCCACACAGGACCGACAAGCCGAGATGCCTTCGTGGAGGCTGACCGCTCCAGCGTCCACACAAACACGGGACAGCCCGCGTCTCCAATGGTCCAGGGAAGAGCCTAAACCACGGAAGGTTAGGTCACAGCCCTCAGCAAGCAGCGCGGGTGGGCGTGAACCCCTCTTGGGCTGGCAGGCAGGGTGTGCGCACTGCAGGATGAAGCCACGCCGCCCACTCCCCAGCCTGGATCCCTGCTCGTCCCTCGCACTCCAGAGCTGCACCTTTCAATGCACCACTTCCTCAAAGATGCGTTCAGAGAACAAGGCCAGGACAGGAAAGAGGTGTGGGAACTCGATGCCAGGTAAGGGCGTGAGGAAAATGCCGAGCCACCAGAAACAGCAAAGGAAGTGCAGGACGCCAGAGCGGATTGGGGTGCCCGGGCATGTGCGGCTCGCACCTTCCCTTTCCTCCCGCACAAGGAGCAAACCGCTCTCACTTTTTATGAGCCTAAGGTGCCGAGGCCACGTCTCCAGTGGCCAGTTCCCATCCTTCCCCAGGAGGGACCACAGTGGTATGCCCACCCCGTCCGCTGGAGAACCTATATGCCGGGACAGACACACAAATACCCGAACCCTAACTAGACAGGGACAGCTCTAAGGCCACACATTTCCTGATCCCCACCTTCCATTCTGTGTTCCTTCTGAAGACTCACTGAGACTATGGGCTCCTGCAGACCCTATTCTCCCCCTGATCACTGCCCAGGCCACACTGACCCCCGGTGGCTCCTCAGACAGAGGCCCCAGCCTCACTGCAGGGCCTATGGACTTGCTGTTAAAAATCGGACCAACTCCATCCTGAATTGTGTCAGGGTACATGTTAGAGGAGTAAAAAATCTCTGGGACGATAAAACAGGGGCAATTTATATTACTGGTTTGATTATCTTAATAATTTATCAAGAGAGTTATTACCAATGACATTATAATATCTTGGTATGATAATGGGGTATCTACACCGGTGAGCATTTAGTAACGTATATAATTATCAAGTCACTATGTTGTACATCTGATACCAATATAACATTGTACATCAACTATATTCCAATAAAAAAATATTTACCAAATCCTAATACACGTGTTGGGCTATAACATATATTTGTGTGAAGAGTGAAAGAAGGCTTTAGACCCACATGATCGCAGCCAGAGCTGAAGTTCAGCTATGCTGCACAGTGGGGTAGGGATAAGCCCACTTCCTTGTCTCCCTACCAAGTGCTGCATAGACTGGGGGACCCGCCACAGCAAAGCAAACATCTGGGGCTGCAGTGGCACTTCCATGATCCTTAAAATAGCAAATTGCTTGGTAATCTCAATGCCTATTCATGTGCCATGTCATGAACTGGCAGGAAATGCACCTTTGAGTAGTGGAAGCCATTTGTACCCTGGCAGCTACCTGAAACCAGTCCTGTTGTTATGCATCTAAGAAGTCCTGGCCAATCCTGACACTGCCAGCCTCTCGCTCTTGAAAAGCCAGGGCAATGGGAAGGTGCAGACCTTCTGTGGGAGAAGGACCCCTCCAGCAACAAAACAAGAGACTGGGGGAGCTCTCCCAGGAGGGCAGTGAGGGCAGCACGGGCGCGGCTCGCCTGGCACAGAGCAAGACCCGGTTAGAGCCGGCTGCTGCGACCAGGAAAGTTGACGCACCCCAACTGTACAGCAGATGTTCTCAAACTTTTTGGACTCAAAAGTCCTTCCACTCTAAAAAATGCTGAGATCTCAAAATGCTTTTTTACATGAGTTATATTTACAGATATTTATTGTAACAAATTAAAACTGAGCAGTTCTAAAAATATATCATTTAAAAATAATAAACCAAATGTGTTAATATAAAGAACAGCTTTTATGAAAAATAACTGTCTTTCCCAATACAGAAAAAAATTAGGGAGGCAAGTGGCATGGCTATACTTTTCTGCAAATGACAACACATAGCTGGATTCTCACATCGGCTTCAGCATTCCGCTTTCTGCGTGTGTCATATGGCTCCTTGATTGCACTGCACTCTCCTGACAGAACGACGGGGAAAAGGCAAAAAATGTCTTACTATGAAGTTTCAACTCTGCTCACCCCCTTAAAGGGCCTTGGAGACCAAGAGGTCCCTGGACCATGATTTGAGACCTGAGGTTCTAAAGCTAGAGACCCACTGACCCAGTATCACTTAAGCATGATTCACGACCCAGGTCTGCCTTCTCAGTAAACCTGTGTCTGGGACAGGGGACGGGTAATGCCCTAACTGGCAACAGCAGCTATTCTATGTGTTGCTCTGCTTGTTTCTAACCCACATAGGAACTCTCAAAGTTGGCTACAAGCAGAAAAATCTAATTTGGCAGGTTTTAAAAACACCTGTCCTTTCAACATACAGCTATCAATCACTGAAATAGGCTTTAAAAACTTAAATGTTTAAGAACAGTTTTGAACTTTTTGATCTCTATTCCTGCCACTCTGGCAAGCCCTCTGCATGTGCCTCCATGTACCAGTAGGCAATAAATCTGCCCCTCCTGCCTGCACTTCCCAGCCAACAGCTTACTCCTAGAGCCACAGGGACGGAGAATGGACACCTGCAAGGTGTGTCCACACAGAGAAGGCCCAGGTGGAGCCCAGGCAGGGTGAGGAGGGCATCCATGCAGGGGTGGCAGTGAGAGCTGTCAGAATTTTAGCAGGTAGGGAGAGCACTTACATGTGGGGGTGATACGGGCAAGAGGGACATCTGTGCAGAGGAGGCCCAGTGTGCAGGGCGGGCTGGTGGTGGCGGTTTGAGCCTGATGGACAAGGGGCTGCAGGGAGCAGCATGGCCTTGCAGAGACCTGTCCCCTAACTATTTGATGAA